GCCCCAGTGCCTGTATTCCCCAGTGTCCAATGGCCCCAGTGCCTGTACTCCCCAGTGTCCAATACCCCCAGTGCCTGTATTCCCCAGTGTCCAATGGCCCCTACTGCCTGTATTCCCCAGTGTCCAATAGCCCCAGTGCCTGTACTCCCCAGTGACCAATTGTCCCAGTGCCTGTACTCCCCAGTGTCCTATACCCCGAGTGCCTGTACTCCCCAGTCCAATGGCCCCAGTGCCTGTATTCCCCAGTGTCCAATGGCCTCAGTGCCTGTATTCCCCAGTGTCCAATGGCCCCAGTGCCTGTATTCCCCAGTGTCCAATGGCCCCAGTGCCTGTATTTCCTAGTGTCCAATGGCCCCAGTGCCTGAAGGACCTGCGTTTCTGATACCCCTCTCCCACTGCCTCTATTCTGTTGCGATCAGAAATCACACGACACCAGGTTATAGTCCAACAGGTTTAGTTGAAAACACAAGCGTTTGAAGCATCTGAAAGCTTGTGTTTTCAAATAAACCTGTTGGACTATAACCTGGTGTTGTGTGATTTCTGACCTTGTCTACCCCAGTCCAACACCAGCACCTCCACATTTATCCCGTTAAGATTGGGGTGTGAGGCGAAGGTTGTTTGGTGGGATCGGGGACAACGGGCACCAGAGAATCAGGCTGCAGCTCTGCACTGAGGATCTTGCACTTGTGGAACCCATCCACCTTAACACTTACACCAGACTTTGTAAGATATTCACTTCTGGAAGGCATCACACATACACATACACTTACAGACACACACACAATCACGCACACTCTCTCACAGTCATACGCACCCACACACGTGCACACTCACTCCACACACTCCCACAGTCAAATGCACTCCAATGCACCCACACACAATCGTAGGCGTTCACACACTGTCGTACATTCAGTAAAACTGCGCTTACCTTGCAATTGTTCCAGTCAGATATGACATAGCTAAGGTCTGGGTGGAGAAACAATGGAAGAGGATGTCAGTAAGATCGAGATCACTGGCACTAGCACAGGGAAGGAGACAGAAAGGTAATGTTACTGCGTTCATATTCCAGAGGACAGCAGAGTAATGGCCCATGGTGGTGGTGTCAGAAAGTACATCCAGAACAATGATTCTGGCAATAAAAACCTGGGATCAGTGAAAGTGCCCATGAAGTTATTGGCCTGTTGTTTAAAGCCCATCGTGTTCACAAGTGTCTGTGATGTAAACCAGCAGATCATCATCCCAGTGGGCGACACCTTCGATTCCACGTACTCAGGTCTCCAAAGCAGGGACTTGAACTAACAACCTGCCGATTCTGGGCTGACTGTGCTGAATTTCAAATACAACCAGCACGTGCACAACAGCCGAAGAGACAGACAGGTTAGATGCGGAGAAAGTGATTCTCCTAGCTGGGGAATCTAGAACTGGGACACATTTCAAAAAATTTAAGGGGGGTTGCCACTTAGTTGGAAATGCGATTTCATTTTCTCAGAGGGTGGATAATCTTCGGAATAATCTACCCCAGAGGGCTGTAGAAGTTTAGTCACTAGGTAGATTAATTAAAGTAGGGATGAATTTCTGATTATTAATGGGGTAAATGGTTATCGGGATTGTGTGGGTAAACACCACTGAAGTGCTCAGGCCAGGATTGTGTTAAATGTGAAAGCAGGGTCCAAGGACTGAAGTTCTGAGAAAGGGTCACCGGACCTGAAACATTAACTCGGAGTTTGTCTTCGCAGATGCTGCCAGACCTGCTGAGCTTTTCCAGCAACTTCTGTTTTTGTTTCCAAGGGCTGAATGGCCTGCTCCTGTGTATGTGAACCAATAAAACATCACAACACCCCTCACATGAGCATATTCAAACCATCCTGACTGGGAATATATCACCATTCCTTCAGTGTCTCTGGGTCAAATTCCTGGAATTCCCTCCCTCAGTGTAATGTGGGTCTATCTACAGCACATGGGCTGCAGCGGTTCAAGAAGGCAGCTCATCATCACCTTCTCAAGGGGCAACTAGGGACGGGCAATAATGCTGGGCCCACCCACATCCTGTGAATGAATACATAAAGAAAACTGTCACAAGCTGAAGTACGCGATGTTAGACCTGGTGAGTAAAATCCTGGTCAAGGACAGAGGTTTTATGGGGTGGGGAGGGGGGGAAGAGAGGGAGAGAGCGAGCAAGAGAGAGAGAGTGAGTGAGTGAGAGAGTGAGAGAGCAAGAGATGGAAGGGAGAGAGAGTAGGGTTTAGGGAGTGTGTAGCAGAGCTCAGGGCCAGGGAAGCTGTAGGCATAGCATCAATGATGGAATGATTAAAATTGGGGATACTCAGGAGGCCAGCATTAGAGATGTACAGAAATCTCAGAGGGTTGTGGAACTGAAGGAGGTTACAGAGATAGGGAGCAGTGAGGTCATGGAGGGACTTGGAAACAGATGAAAAAATAACGGAGGTGTTGCTTGACTGGAGCCAATGAAGGTCAGACAGCACAGGGCTGATGGAGAATGGGACTTGGTGCATGTTCCAACACGAGTGGCAGAGTTAACTGGATGACCTCACATTTATCAGGATGTTGCCTGGATTCGAGTATATTAGGAATAAGGAGAGATTGGACAAACTTGGATTGTTTTCACTTGAGAGTCAGAGGCTGAGGGACCTGACAGACGTATATAAAATTATAAGAAGCATAGATAGGGGGGTAGTTGGGGTCTTTATTCCAGGGTGGAATTGCCAAGTATTAAGGGACATAGGTTTAAGGCAAGAGGGGGAAAATTTAAAGATGTGCAAGGCAAGTTTTTGTTTACGCAGATGGTGGTAAAGACTGAAATGTGCTGCCAGGGGAGGTGGAAGCAATGTTTAAGAGCCATTTAGACTGACACATGAACAGGCAGGGAATACAGGATATGGATCATAAGCAGGCAGATGGGATTAGTTTAGGAATAGCATCATGGTTAGCACAGGCCTGGTGGGCTGAAGGGCCTGTTCCTGTGCTGCACTGTTCCATGTTTACAGAGGTTGGAATGTGGATGGTCAGTTTTTGGGGAGGGACGGGAGTGGCTATCTCAGCAATTTACAAACAAATTCTTCCAATGGGACATGGGCATTGCTGGCTGGGACAACATTTACTAGCCAAACCCTAGAGGTGGTGGTGAGCTAGCTTCTTGAATTCCACAGTCTACGGTGTACTGACACCCACAATGTTTTTAGGGAGGGAACTCCAGGATTCTGACCCCAGTGACAATGGAGGAATGTTGAACTGGGGCAGGAATGAAGTTGGGAGATGTCACAAAGGTGGAAACAGGAAGCTATTGAATTAAACATTAAGGCATGATGCAGGGTCAGGATGATGAAAGACGAACTGACAGCAAACATCAAAAAAGAAGGAAGCATATGTCAGGTATGGACAGCAGGGATCAAGTAGATCCACTGTTTTTTGTCATTTCTACAAATGATTTGGATGTAGGTTTGCAGATGACACCAAAATTGACAGCGAAGAAGGTTACCTCAGAGTACAATGGGACCTTGATCAGATGGGCACATAGGCCGAGGAGTGGCAGATGGAGTTTAATGGAGGTGCTGCATTGTGGTAAGGCAAAACAGGGCAGGATTTATACACTTAATGGTAAGGTCCTGGGGAGTGTGTTACTGAATAAACAGACCTTGGGGTGCAGATTCATAGTTCCTTGAAAGCAGAGTCACAGGAAGACAGGGTAGTGAAGAAGGCATTTGATACACTTGCCTTTATTGGTCGGTGCATTGAGTATAGGATTTCGGAAGTCATGTTGAGCCGTACAGGGCATTGGTTAGGCCACTTTTGGAATACTGTGTTCAATTCTGGTCTCCCTGCTATAGGAAAGATGTTGTGAAACTTGATAGGGTTCAGAAAAGATTTACAAGGATGTTGCGAGGGTTGAAGGGTTTGAGATATAGGGAGAAGCTGAATAAGGCTGGGGCTATTTACCCTGGAGCTTCAGAGGCTGAGGAATGACCTTATAGAGGTTTATAGAATCATGAGGGGTATAGACAGGGTAAATAGACAAGGTACTTTCCTTGGGGTAGGGGAGTCCAAAACTAATCGGCATAGTTTTCAGGTGACAGAGGAAAAATTTAAAGGGACCTGAAGGGCACCTTTTTCATGTAGAGGGTGGTGCATGTATGGAATGAGCTTCCAGATGAGCTGGTGGAGGCTGGTACAATTACAACATTTAAAAGGCATCTGGATGGGTATATGAATAGGAAGGGATTAGAGGAATATGGGCCAAATAATGACAAACGGGACTAGATTAATGTGGACTACCTGGTCAGCATGGATGAGTTAGGCCGAAAAGTCTGTTTCCGTACTGTACATCTCTGACTTTATGACTCTATAAATATCTGGACAGATCACCTCTGTGAAGAATTGTCCAGATAAGGTCAGAGATTTCAGATTATTTGTGAATGAGCTGGACCCTGGAATGGAGAAGTGAGTAGCTGATTTAAAAGGTAAATTTAATAAGATACTTACAAAAATAGCCAAGAGGATCATATTCCAGGGAAATTTCCTCCTGAAAAATATTGACACGATTAAACAAAAATTTGTACAATTTGACAATAACTTGGCGCAGGTCAGACCTCGTTGGGAAATCTTATCAATATTTAAGAATAATGTAAGGAAGCTGGAGGAGATGGAATCATTTAGACATTTTCTCCATGAAATAGGATCATGTGATTTCCCGGAATTGTGTTCAGCAGAATGTGGTCTGGGACCCACATATGGATCACTGAAATCAAAAGCAGAATGTGTGCTGTCAGGTGCCTCCTAAACGGAACAGAAATGGGCTTTATCACCAAAATGGGCAGAATGGGGGTGGTGCTGATGGGATACTGCCAGGTCCACACACACACTGATTAGTCCTTACACCAATAACAGGTGGCATCAGCAGAACCACGGGAAAATCTGGACCTCGATCAAGAGACAGAGACGCTGGGGAGGTGGGTCATGGAAATGGTAAGACGACAGCAAGTTAATAAGGAACAAACCCACCATCATCCCTACTACCAAAGCCCTGCTCCCCAACCCCCAGCCTCCACTCCCCTCCGGTGTACGAGAACGAAGCTGATGTTAACAAGTCAGACTGGACAACTCACCTGGGTCCTTCACAACAGATCAGGACAAAATATATCACAATGAACACTCCACTGGGAAAAGAAATGAGAAATCAGTTGGTCAGCATTACACAACAAGGAGGCAAGGAGCAACAATCAAAACAACAACTTGTATTTCAATAATGCCATTAACCCAATCACGTCCCCACCCCCACTTCCCAGGAACATCACAGATCAGAAGCTTTGAAGGTGGACCACCAGAGAACAGACGGTCAAAGTGGGGGGGGGGGGGGGTCTTGGTTTGAAGAGAAGCGGGAGTGGGACGGAACTCCAGAATTTGGGGCAAAGTAATTAAAATTGGGAACAGACCCGTCAAAATGACGCAGGACTTTGGGGAGACTGAGGGGTGACAGCAGGTTACAGAGATAAAGCCAGCCTGGGCCCCGAAGGGATTTGAAAGCAAGATGATAATATTTAAATCAACAGGCTGTGCAACCGGGAGCAAGCATATGTCAGTGAGTGCATGAGGTGGAACAGCAAGGACAATCCCTGTAAGGTCAGACACAGGCAGTAGAGGTTTGAATGATCCCAAGTTTGCGGAAGGGAGAACATGGGAGACCAGCTAGGAGTGTGCTGGATAGTCAAGTGCGGAGGTAACAATGGGCTGAATGAAGGTTTCAGTAGCCGAACAACCCAGATGGGGTTCAAAGTCAGGTGATGTGACGATGTAGAGATAGCTGGTCTTAGTAATGGTGCTGTGGGCAAAGCTGAATCCTAGGCTGTGAACTGACTGGTTTAATTTCAGACTGTTTGAAGGGACCATGACCCCTGAGATTTCCCTCAATCTGCAACCACTCTGTCCCCTCAGCTCAAGCTCGCAATTTCCTGACACCAATTCCAGATCCTCACACTCTCAGGAAACCAAAACTATGTTGATTGTTTGTCAGAGATAGTAGGAACTGCAGATGCTGGAGAATCCGAGACAACAAGGTGCAGGGCTGGATGAACACAGCAGGCCAAGCAGCATCAGAGGAGCAGAGAGGCTGACGTTTTGGGCCTAGACCCTTCATCAGAAAAGGGGGAGGGGAAGGGGGTTTTGAAATAAATAGGGAGAGAGTGGGAGGCGGATAGAAGAGGGATAGAGGAGAGGATAGGTGGAGAGGAAACAAACAGGTCGAAGAGGCGGGGATGGAGCCAGGAAAGGTGAGTGTAGGTAGGGAGTTAGGATGGGGATAGGTCAGTCCAGGGAGGACGGACAGGTCAAGGGGGCGGGATGAGGTTGGTCGGTAGGAGATGGAGGTGCGGCTTGAGGTGGGAGGAGGGGATAGGTGGGAGGAAGAAAAGGTTAGGGAGGCAGGGACGAGCTGGACTGGTTTTGGGATGCGGTGGGGGGAGGGGAGATTTTGAAACTTGTGAAATCCACATTGATACCATTGGGCTGCAGGGTTCCCAAGCGGAATATGAGTTGCTGTTCCTGCAACCTTCGGGTGGCATCGTTGTGGCACTGCAGGAGGCCCAGGATGGACATGTCGTCTGAGGAATGGGAGGGGGAGTTGAAATGGTTCGCGACTGGGAGGTGCAGTTGTTTGTTGCGAACCGAGCGTAGGTGTTCTGCAAAGCGGTCCCCGAGTCTCCGCTTGGTTTCCCCGATGTAGAGGAAGCCACACCGGGTACAGCGGATGCAGTATACCACATTGGCAGATGTGCAGGTGAACATCTGCTTGATGTGGAAAGTCTTCTTGGGGCCTGGGATGGGGGTGAGGGAGGAGGTATGGGGGCAGGTGTAGCACTTCCTGCGGTTGCAGGGAAAAGTGCCGGGTGTGGTGGAGCTGGAGGGGAGTGTGGAGCGGACAAGGGAGTCACGGAGAGAGTTGTCCCTCCGGAAAGCAGATAAGGGTGGGGAGGGAAAAATGTCTTTGGTGGTGGGGTCGGATTGCAGATGGCAAAAGTGTCGGAGGATGATGCGTTGGATCCGGAGGTTGGTGGGGTGGTACGTGAGGACGAGGGGGATTCTTTTTTGGTTTTTATTGCGTGGACGGGGTGTGAGGGATGAGGTGCGGGAGATGTGGGAGACACGGTTGAGGGCGTTCTCGACCACCGAGGAGGGGAAGTTACGGTCCTTGAAAAACGAGGACAGCTGAGATGTACGGGAGTGGAATGCCTCATCCTGGGAGCAGATGCGGCGGAGGCGAAGGAATTGGTAATAGGGGATAGCATTTTTGCAGGAAGGTGGGTGGGAGGAGGAGTATTCTAGGTAGCTGTGGGAGTCGGTGGGCTTGAACTCATATTCCGCTTGGGAACCCTGCAGCCGAATGGTATCAATGTGGATTTCACAAGTTTCAAAATCTCCCCTCCCCCCACCGCATCCCAAAACCAGTCCAGCTCGTCCCTGCCTCCCTAACCTGTTCTTCCTCCCACCTATCCCCTCCTCCCACCTCAAGCCGCACTTCCATCTCCTACCGACCAACCTCATCCCGCCCCCTTGACCTGTCCGTCCTCCCTGAACTGACCTATCCCCTTCCTAACTCCCTACCTACACTCACCTTTCCTGGCTCCATCCCCGCCTCTTCGACCTGTTTGTTTCCTCTCCACCTATCCTCTCCTCTATCCCTCTTCTATCCGCCTCCCACTCTCTCCCTATTTATTTCAAAACCCCCTTCCCCTCCCCCTTTTCTGATGAAGGGTCTAGGCCCGAAACGTCAGCCTCTCTGCTCCTATGATGCTGCTTGGCCTGCTGTGTTCATCCAGCCCTGACCTGTCCGTCCTCCCTGGACTGACCTATCCCCTTCCTAACTCCCTACCTACACTCACCTTTCCTGGCTCCATCCCCGCCTCTTCGACCTATTTGTTTCCTCTCCACCTATCCTCTCCTCTATCCCTCTTCTATCCGCCTCCCACTCTCTCCCTATTTATTTCAAAACCCCCTTCCCCTCCCCCTTTTCTGATGAAGGGTCTAGGCCCGAAA